ACCACCACCACCACCACCACCACTACCACTACCACCACCACCACCACTACCACTACCACTACCACCACTACCACTACATCTGCCACTACCACTACCACTATACACTGATAGGCGTTCTCCAAACCTTTCTGACATGAGTGTCAAATTTTCCTAATTAATAAGAAAGAGTGTATGCAATATTTTGCTTGAATGATTTACTTTGTTATTTTTTTGTGATTGTAAAACTGTTTTTTAATGAATTTTATATAATGCGCGTAGAACAATGGTTGTAACACGGATTTGTTCAATGTAAATGTCATATATTGATATCATTATAAGCGAACAATGTAATATTTCGGGATTTGGGATGGGGGTGGGTGGGGCAGGCAAATGTAAGAAAAGTGTACAGAGGGCAGGGATTTTTTTTTTGGGGGGGGGAGTCCCAAAAGAGGTGTAAGGTTACATTTGAACAGCACCATACAAGAGCCACTCTTGACGTGTGGGGTGTGGCCCCATCCCACAGGAACCAGGCCTCCCCAACAACAAAACACCTTCTCCTCCCCAAACTTCTCCTAAACTTTCTCAGCACGGTGAGATATCCATCTGATGTGATTGTTGTGGTTTTACCGTTCTCATCCAGAAACCAGAACGAACCGATCACGCCCCTGTAGCAGAAAACTGTTAAGAAATAAAGTTTTGCGTTTTACTCCAGTTTGGTTGAACTTTTTAAAACTTGTCATTTCTCACCCACGTCAATTGATTGTCTTTCTATTTACTGAGTCGACGACCTCTTGGCTGAATTTTTGTTTGTTGGAAATGTTGTTGAAATTGGTGAAGAGATGACCGAATTATTGCCCTGTTAAGTGGGTCCTTTTTAAACAAAAATACTTTTTTGAACATCCTGTTGACCTGGTTAAACTTTAGAGTAAAAGACAATGCAAAAATGACAGTCTAAAGAAACAAGTTTAGCTGATTGGGCCCAAATCTTGGGGAACGATAAATTATATGGAAGCGCAGACAGACAGACAGACAGACAGACAGACAGACAGACAGACAGA